CCGAACTTCGTTTAGGCCGGGCCTCACCTCAGTCTCGCTTTCTGTCCGTGTAGACCAGGCTTCAGCAAGAAGTGCAAAAAAGCCCCGTAACTGACACACGAGGAGTGGGTCCGTCCTACGTGAAAGGTTTCAACAACTGTGCATAAAAGGAATAGTCTTTGTACCAGCCACACGCCACTGGCTTACATCATTAGATTGTGGCTACGACCGCGTTACTACCTGGTTCCGTTATTATTATTATTTTTTAAGATAATCTTCCTTTTTACTTTCACCTGGTAAGCTGACATCAGGTTCCTCAGGAAAGACCCTCCATGTTCTCTCTTTATCGATATTAAAAGCGACCTCTCTGATCAGCATCACGCGCTGGTGCAACTTTCCATCATGAGTCAAGCTTCAAGATTTCCATTGCATGAAGCAAAATATCAGCTCTTTGTTTTCCCTTTTGTTTTCTATGGAAAACGTTCATCAGTGTGATTTTGGATGTCTATGGGTGAGTTTGTACAAGGAGGGCATCCTCAATAATTCACAGCCAACAACCATACCGCTAACCTATGATCAAATTAGTAAGTGTTTTGGTGATTAACAGGTTTGAAAACGCTTGAGTTCTGAGATCACACCGTCTGCATGTAACTATATTCCTATCTCAGCATTTTTGACCTTTTGACTAGTTTTAACAGAGGATTAGTAGTTTCAAAGATAACTAAGTTCCAGAAAGTTTTGTGAAAACACAAAATTGCATTGAGAAGGGAAATCTTTCAAGTACCACCTAAGATTGTAGTGAACAAGGGAAAGGCTGCAGCCTCCGTATCTACATTATCAGAGACCAGAAAATTAATGCATAGCAAATACAGGAGCATTTTAAAAATGCTCCTGAAAAAACTCCAGTTAGAGTTTACTACGCAACATAAATCCACAGAAAATCAGGCATCGTTGGCTTCGATGCTCATGAAACCCCTGTAATCGATTTAACCCCTACGTTTGTCTCAAAGACTGCTGTTAGAAAGCAGCTGGCTATGGAATCACAAAGATCATCAGATAACAATGAGATTCTACAAAGGAAATAAAAACATCAATAAGACACTGATATCACGCATGCTAATGTTTTTTGCTAAGTAAATCCCGGCGCTGTCTTGCCTTATTCCAACTGCACACGGGTCACAAACTCTGGCAGTCTTGGGTGAAAACCTGCACTTGACTCTGCTTCCATGGGAGAACCTGAAGCTCCCACATGTTGCCAGCACAGATCTAGCATAAACTGCATAATTAGTACGTTCTGTTTCTTCAGCTCTGCAGCTCTTGGTTTCTAGCCCTCGGCCTTTTAGGATAGCATCAAGACAGAGTACTCTGTGGTGGCCCCAGATAAGAAACTGTATCAAGAGAAGGACGCCTTCTCGGCCATGGACGCTTGTATTTTGTCCTGAATCCTGAGCAGAAGGGAGGAGTCCTATGAGAAGTGACCAAGCAATGACGTATTTTAAAGAAGTCTTTTCGGGTTTCTCCTCAAAGATCCTTCCTCCACGCCTGCCAGTTTGCTCAGGGACCTGCGGAGCTGCTAAATGCCCAGCAGTGCACCAACGAGATTAAAGTCTACTCTTCTCAGCTACACTCCCATCATACAAGCAGATTACTGTTTTTTCCAGTGAAATAGTGAATAACAGAATCCTGATAATTGATCAAAGTTACCCTTCTTCATTGAAGAAAGGGAACGCCTCCCCTCCCCCCTTTATACCTATAGCTTACACTGTTGGCATTAGAATTTTAGGATGAATTTTTATCATTACGTAATTCCTGTTTTCAATAGGACTGTGTCTGTGCTGCTGAGACAACAACCTGAAATGCTCCTATTAGGTTGCTGTTTTTTCTTTTTTAAATCCACCTTGCAGGAATGCCCTCTTCACGGGATTTTAAATCTTGTCCTCTGAGCAGAGCTTCAGGCATCGCATGCCGTGTGCTGAGCAAACAACCTCGCAGGGCACAGCACTGCGCTTGAGAACTCATTTATCTTGCTTTGGATACGACACAGGAACTAAATCTGCCCTCACTGTACAGCACTGACTTTTATGGGACTGCTCTAATGTAACACAAGGGCAGATGCAACCTGAAAAAATTAAGATATTTCAAACCAGAACTAAGCAACAGCAGTTATATACACATTAAATAAGCTGCTACCGAAATCCAAAGATTTGGAGAAAGTTTTGGTCCAAACTGGACTTTACATAGCATCTCCCAAATATAGAGTTTTAAAGTGTTCAAAAAACAAGATTAAGTCATACAACTTAAGAAACAAAAAATATCTTCTCTACATAGATAACGGTGCCAACACTTGGGACGGTACACTGCTGCACCCGTCCCACTGTAGGGCAAAGCTGCCAGTACTGGGATAAGACCATCAACACGCAGACGGCCGTGCAGGAGCACACCCTGGCTTCCAGCGAGGGCACCCGCGGGTCTAGTGGATACGGTGGGCACATCATTCCCAATGGGTGCCAGCAGCACACCGAAAATACATCCTTCAAGGACGTTCCAGGGCCCCAGGGACGTTACTGCAGTCTGTATAAGACATCTCTGAGCAAGTTGCTTAAAGAAATAAGTAGGTCAATGCTCATATGTTGAGCAGTCATAACAAAAAAAAAAAAAAAAAAAAAGAAGGTTCTTATTGACCTAAATGATCCCCCCACAGCCCACTAGAGACTACTGCAGACGAGAGGCGTGAAGTTCAGCATAACGCCCGAGCGGAATTATACTTTCTGCAGACTGCACCCATCCACCCTCTTGCTGCCGTTATGGCTGGCCCTTGGCGCCAAACGTGCAGGGGCCTCTTCTATCGTTGCTCCCCTTCCTCAACCCCATCGTTGCTCCTCCTTCCGACTCCAGACTGCCCTGCTGGAGGTATAAAGAATACCTGCTGGTTTCACTGGGGTAACAATATCATCCCTGCACCGAATGTTTGCTGCGGCATAAATCCTACCTTTCCTCTGGCTGGTTTTCTCTGTTTCTTTGACAGGAAAAACTATCATCCAGTCAGGAGATACGGTACTTGAGATAGAAGCACTTTCAGACTAATTTGACATAAGAGAAGGCAGGGTTGGGGCACACGGAGTTCTCAGAACCTCGGTATCTTCACAACAGCAGCTGTGCTATTAAATATCTAGTTCACTGTCCCAAGCCATGTTGAAAGGGAGCCCTCAGAAAATGAGTGCACTCAAGAGTTTACGAATATTTCCAAAATAATATGGCCTTGAAAAGCAGCTAAATGTAATAGCAGCTATAATATAATAAATATATAAGCAGATAACATAACGCCAGGTAATAATTTGGCTTGTAATCTGAATGGTAAAGCAAATAAAAACCATTAAACCCTTCCTTGGGTTAAAAAAACACCACACACACAGAGGACTTGGGTGACAGAACAAAAGATAACTCTGCAATTATTGATCTGAACAATAACGAGCTGACACCGTGCTGTCTCTTTAAGGAGCACACAGCTGCTCAGTTCTAACAGTTTCATGCTTGACAAGGATACTCCCTTTTCCTTATTCCATCATTATAGCCCTCACTCCTCTTCCCTTCCCCGTTTATGTAGCGACCTCCGAATTGCCTGGTCAGTTCATAAGCTTTGCGGGCAGCGACGTGTCATACGTGTCTGCAACGCGCGCAGGGCACCTCTGCCTCTGTAATAACAACCGTGCAACTGTATAGCTTTGCTTTTAACAAACACCATGCAAGCAAACCAAAGCTAAACAAAGCTCAGTAGCCGGAAGGACTATGTCGTTTAAGCAGGTAGCTACATGTGGATAGCTAAAGAGATCGCTACAGTCTAAAAGACTTTGACTGTCTCCTGAGTGCAGTGCTTCCGTAACACAAGCGTACTGCGTTCTTTTAGACTTTGACTGTCTCCTGAGTGCAATTCTTCCGTAACACAAGCGTACTGTGTTCTTAACCAAACTCAGTATCAGCTACAAGACGAGCTAACGTCTAAAACTCCCAAGTTACTGGGAGAGGCGACTACTACTGAAGTGCGCCGCAAACCCTACCCCAATGGCTCAGGAGATGGTCAGAGGTATGATGATACAGCAGGCAACAAAACCCATAGGCCAAATCCACGTGAGGGTTAAAACAGTTGCTTCTCCCAGACACCAGGCTCAAACCAGACAGGAGCTGAGCATCCAGATTCCACCCAGTTCAACCTTTAAGTATATCCTCAACTCACAGGCAATAAATTGAAAACAACTTGACGTCTGCAGCAACTATAGCCTTACACATCTGCTACGTGAAGCAAGAATGCTCTGCACGCCTGGATTTCCCTTCCCTTTTCAGATGTTTCCAGCACTTTTGTGCAACTGAAGCGGTGACGCACTGTCACTTTAAGATGGATTTTGGAGCGTGGCCAGCCAGGAAAGACGGACACATCCGGTTCAGAGGTTAACGCTGGGCTGGCGAGACTGCACCGGCTGGAAGGAGCTGTCGGTGCAGGCTGCTGGGCGCTGCTTTCACACCGCGCCGTGCTCGGGGGCTCCGCACCAATGGTCCTCATCTCCTGTCTCCAGAGATGCATTCAGCTCATCATCTTGCCTGTATACATACTTGCCTACATGGGTTTATGGGACTCCTTCTATAAGAAAGTTTTTCCACATATCATGGCCAAGCTTGCACCAATCTACAACCATAAGGTCTACAAGCAGAAACAAGAGCTTTTCAGCAACTTAAGAAAATTTGCCGGCCCTTCAGGCCAGCTCAGGTTGTTGGAAATTGGCACAGGCACTGGCACCAATTTCCAGTTCTATCCACCAGGCTGCCGGCTTACGTGCACTGATCCTAATCCCAATTTCAGACAGTTCCTCCTCAAGAACCTCTCGGAGAACCCACACCTCCAGCTTGAACATTCGGTGGTTGCTTCTGGGGAGAATCTGCATCAAATACCGGATGGCACCATGGACGTGGTGGTGTGCACCTTAGTGTTGTGCTCTGTAACCAACGTCAACAAAGTCCTGAAAGAAGTTTTGCGAGTGCTCAGGCTGGTAAGCTGGGGCAGCGCGAGGAGGGGGGGGAAGTGATCCTGCTCTCACTTCTGGTTTCCTTTCCCCTGCCAAATTCTCTTTCTTTCTCTCTTGCAATCTTGCATTTTGGAGAAGGCCTGCCAATTTCTTCACACTCTCCTGTGCTGTAAATACCTGTAGACCCTTCTGCGATCACAAGGGAGAGCATCCATCCATCCTGTATCCTGTAACATTCAGATGCAACAGAATCAAAGTGGTACTTCTGGTCTGCACAGCGTACCACTCGCAAGTAATTTCACCTGCGGATGGAAGAACTAGTTCATGCTGCTTTACCGCTCTCTCCTTAGCACCTGACTAGCGCACTGCCAAGCACGCAGAAAGCCTGGAGTACCCGCAAAGCCGTGCTGATTGCTGGGGCAATCGGGAGACAGCTACTCAGAGCACCCTGGCTCCTGCGCTTGCAGCTGGGCAGCCTGCAAAAACTCCAAGATCAAAACACTGTTTCAAGAAAAAAAAAGAAAAAAAAAAAAACAAAAAAACCCAGGAGGTCCCAGGGGCTGGGAGGAGCAGGAGTAGAGCAGCACAGAATAACGATTGCTGCAATAAAATGGTGGAAGTAAAGGGCACGAAAGGAGAGAAGCAGGAAGGGATGTGAATTCTAACTCAGATAAAAGATAAACAAGAATTTCAGTTTATAGTTGTCCTACGCATTCACTAGCAAGTGCTCTCACCTTTAGACCTTGTTCTCCTGACCAGGTATTTTCATTATAATCTAAGGTGACACTTGTAAAACGCCACATTCGTACACATTTACATACCTCTCTCCTACTACAAAATACTTTTTTTTCCCCCCCACCAGGTATCTCAGAATAACTGGGGAAGGGTTTAAACTAAACTTAAGGCATCTCATATCCACATAGGTTGGGTTAAATCTATGTAACCGGTCAGAACCTTCCTGTGTCAATAAGACTTCATCCCTGGATGGGGCTAAAAGCCTACTTCCTTCTTCAAGGTAACCTTGCACACGCTTACAAAGCGATACTAGGGAAGAGGGAATAAGATCACACCCAATACGCTCCACTGAGAAGGGAAGGGAAACACCAGCTCAGACTCTTTGCCTTCTGTACGTGGATCCATTAAACAGCCTCTACTGTTAGGAGAAGGCTTGCTCACAATACTATAAACAACAGATAAAAGGCAAATCTCAACACTGAAAGGCATTGAATCAGATGCGGTAGAACACTGAGGGCGGCTGTAAGGCTGACAAAGAACAAACTATCACATGCTGTATATACTAGTTGTAGCCTCTCTCTCCCCTCCGCGGCATTTGATTTCTGCTTGCTAACAGCTATCTCATATGCTTTATAAACATTAAGAAATAAACTCTTTTAATTGCTGGTATGTAGGGCAAGCAACTTGTTTATTCACATTTTACAGATGAGAAGAACTGAAACACAGGGAAGTTAAGTGGCTTGTCCAAGGTCACCCAAGGCAGATGGGGCAGAGCTCAATACCCTGTGACAGCAATTCCCAACCACCAGACTATACTGCCTCTTGCAGAATTATAAGCTGCACCTATCAGCAAATAGGTAAAACCCACTAGCTTCTACCCAGATTGAATGGGAGGTCGTTACAGAGGCTCCGCTACTCAAAACAAACATGAATCCATCGCGCGTAATCTCTAGGAAAGGAGGCCACTATCCAGAGAGGTGGAAAAAGGCAGCTTGTTGGCTAAGAAGTAAATAATAAAATTCTACATACAGAGGTGAAACCTCCTAAGTCCTTTTTCTATTTTTTTTATGGTATTGTTTTATAGGGTGGAGCCTTTTACTTTGTGGAGCACGTGGCTGCGGATCGTTCCAGTTGGACCTACTTTTGGCAAAAGGTCTGTGACCCAGTCTGGAAGTGTCTTGGAGATGGGTGTTCCTTGAGCAGGGAGACACAGAAGGACCTGGAGAAAACTAACTTCTCAGAACTGAACTTGAGGCGCATACGTGTCTCACCACACTGGAATCCTACTAGTCCTCATATCATTGGATATGCGGTAAAATGAATGACCGTGAGCGCTGCAGGGCACACAACATCCCTTCAGTAGCTCCTTTCACACTTTCTATAGAGTATTTTTCACTGAATAGTAGCCTTACAGTCAACCCATACGCAGCAACTAAGTAATCAGAATAAAAACATGGAAATCTTCCTGAGCATCCATAGCTCGTTCAAACTGAGAATCACATTCTTCCATCTGTTAGACAGGTTTTCTGGATGGAGCTCTCAAACAGAGCCGTGGCACACGGACCAAGCAAATTGGAAACAAAAACAGAGAACGCATTTCAGTGCGATACAAAATAAAGGAAGAGTCACCATCTTAGAGCTGAGAAAGAGGAGAGGGAAGACAGGGAACAGAAGATCTATGCAAACAAGTAGAGAAAGCTTACATCTTTCTAATAGCAGAGACTATTACTCAGCCTTTAAGATTTCAGATTCAGGACACATACATAATAGATATAGCATCAGTACAAGCATTTTTCTTTCAGTCTTCCCATTACAAAACACCACTAGGAGCCGGCGTTCATTCTCCCATGCCAGTCGAGTCCTCCCTTACTGGACTGTTTATTTCAGGAAAGTGCCCATTAGAGCACCAGTTCACTATACATAGCTTCCACTGGCCATTAGAGGCTAACGCTGTCAGCCTAGATTTAACTTACAACCTACAAAGCAAAAAACTGAACTTCTCCTTACGGTGGGAGAAAGCTGGCATTGGTTAAATCAGGCGACAGAAACCTCATCTCAGCTGTAACATGGTCTCTACTAAGCCATGCTCTTACAGCCCTTTTGTCGTGCTCTGCTAAGAAGCTAAACCTATGCTTAAACTTAATGTTCTACTCTCCCTTCAGTCCAGATTACACCTTTAAGATGTCAAGTTTTTGTTGTTGTTGTTTTTTTTTTTTTTAAAGCCACACGTTTCATTAGGAATATTTTCCAGTTAAACTTCCCCAGGACACCAGGAGAAGGTGCTGCTATCTTGACCACTGTTTAACCTTCCTTTTGATTTCTCACAGTAAAGCATCTAAGAATTAAAATCTGGTGCAAATGATATTTAATAAAAGAATGCACTTAATGCCTCTGTTTTGTGCTCCACAAACAGACAACTGGTCTACACAGAAAGTACATCTGAAGTAATTCCCACTGTTTAGATTTGTTTCTCTGATGTAGTCAGCACGTGGTGGCGGTATGAAGGTATGACAAGAGAGTTTAGTAATAAAGCAGTCTAATAATGATGCTGCCATATGCTGGGTATTTTATTTGCTTTATTACCACTAGAGGGAGGAGGTAACTCCGCAGACAACAAGGCTACCTATCGCTCAACAGAAAAATAAACTCCTCCAGGGCAATTCGCAATACAACTGCTTGAGTTCGGGATCTGAAGTTGAGCGGTGCAAACGGTCCCCTTGTCCCTTTACCAGGCTCCCTCTAGGCAGAGCAATTAATTGCCAGTGGCTAATCTACACTGCTATTACTAAAGCCTGTGGAAAAAAAACAATGGTGATAGCAAAGTTAAAAAAGTTTAAAAGAAAGCATTTAGCATAAAATGGACTGTACATTGTCAACTCAAGCTTATAAAGTGAAAACCAAGCTACCATAGACAGTGATTACTGAATTAATAAATGGTTTTATCTCTGGGCCACGAGTCCCACCAAAGATCTGAAAGGTAGCCAAGAAAAGCGAGTTCATTCACCGCAAAGGAGTCCACATCCACAAATCAAAATATGTTAGGTGTCCATGAAGTGCAAAGACTGAAAGCTGCTGCTGCAGAGAAAGCACACAGCGAGCAGCTGACTAGCTCATCTAGCTACTTTAGATACCTAAAACAAGGGCATAAATAACCCTTAAACGTGTGTGTTTTAACCAAAACGTTAATCAAACAAAATTCATTATCTACAGCAAATCCAGAGTTTAGATTAACTTCCTACAGGCACTCACGGAAGACAAGCTATGGCTTCTTTAAGAGATGTAAACTGTAATCTGAAACTGCTGAACACCAGGTTAGGGTGACTGATGACATGTTGCCAATAGTCAAATACAAAGATGTACTTTTCAGTTTATCTAGGTTACTGAACTGCCTGGCAGCTCCTTTTCTGGCAGCAATTTTTTTGCCTGAGCTGGGACATTACGGTAACTGTTTGGTAAGCAGTGCTGTTTTTCCCTTCCTTGCCTGTGACTGGACTTTAAAATCAGCTTTAGAGAAAAGTCCACCCTATCAGGCCAAAGAGTTGCACTTCAAGAGGAACACAGCAAGCACACAAATCCAGCTCTAAGTTTCAAGTGCTCTAATACGTAGAGGAACGAAGCACAGTACAGACTCAGTCTGCGCAGCACAGATTCTTTGCCCCCACGCTGGAAATGACGGAGGCCAGCATTCTCCTCTTCCGTGCCTGCTTCATGCTGCTCGCCATGCCCATCTATCTGCTATCGTTCCTGGGTATATGGGAGCCTTTCTGTAAGAAGATATTTTTTCCTTTCATCCTCGAGAAGATTGCTGCAGTTTACAACAGGAAAACAAAGAGGCAAAAACAGGAACTATTTCGTAATCTGCCCGAATTTACAAGCCCCTCAGGAGAGCTGAAGCTGCTGGAGATCGGGACCGGCTGTGGTAGTAACTTCCAGTTCTACCCACCAGGCTGCAAAGTGACGTGCACCGATATAGACCTTCACTTCCAGAAAGGCCTTTCTCAAAGCATGAGCCAGAACCAGCACCTGCACTACGAGCGCTTCTTAGTAGCTGCAGGAGAAGACCTGAGCCAGGTGCCCAGCGGTTCTGTGGACGCAGTCGTTTGCACTTTAGTCCTATGCTCTGTGCGGGACATAAACAGCACCTTGAAAGAAGTACTGCGAGTGCTCAGACCGGTGAGTATTTGAAGAAGTTTTGTGTTATTACTTTGATCATCCATTCCAGAGGCACTGCACCAGAGCAACAAGTTGCCTTTGAGCTTACAAGTCAGACCCCATTGATTTTCATAGTAGAAATCAGATTTACAACCACTCTGCAATGCTAAATGGTGCAAAGCAGTAGCAGCACACTGTTCAGCCTGTCTTAGCTCAGCCTTAAGAGTAACGTGTTAAGTAAACAGAACCGCCACTAATTCTGTAAGTAACTACAGCACATCACTGTACAGAACCGGCTCCTTTGTTGTTGTCTCTGCCCCCTCACACGCCAGATTTTGTTTTGGGGAGAAGAGGGGAAGTTCTGATCAAGGCTGAAAGTCGGTGTTTTAAATAAACTGCTTTAGTCTCTTAGAAGAGGGTCTGATCTACCTGTATGACTAAAGCAATCTAATTAAATGCCTTCATTCCCTGTAGTGTCCTATTCAAACTAAGGATTAAAAAAAGCTATTTTTTGCAATAGAATTTCAGCCTTTACAATGGTATTTTCAATACAGTCCTTTGGGTTGTTAAAAACCCAGTGAGTTCTAGTAGGGTTTATGCACTTCACCTAGTTTCCTTTGAAATATGACACGCTAGCAACTGTAATTTAAACAAAAAGACAAAGAACAAACCATTGCTCTAAGAACAACGGGATCAAATAAGTACACCTTTCATCCTTTCAGAATATGCATTCTGAATCTCTGCAAGTTTCCTGCTCGTATTAATTCTAATCGACATTACTGAAGTAAAAAGCAGGCAGGAAAGGGGTAGAAAGAGCCTGTCAGAGTGAGCAAACCGAGTTTCCCGTGCATGGAATCGTGTTTGAGAAAAGGAGGGTCAGAGAGGGAAGGGTCTGCCGGGTGCTCGCTCCTTCTATGGTATTCTAAGATGACTTTGCTTCCCCAGGGCGGCGCTTTCTATTTCTTAGAACACGTGGCTGCTGATCATTCCAGCTGGAACTATTTTTGGCAGCAGATCTTATATCCCACTTGGAAGCTCGTGTTTGCTGGGTGTTGCCTAACAAGAGAGATATGGAAAAACCTAGAACAGGCCAACTTCTCCGAACTGAAGTTACAACACATCAGCGTTCCTCTACCCTGGATGCCTAATAAGTCTCATATCATTGGATATGCCGTGAAGTAATTCATATCGCGCTGTAACTTTCTCCCCTGTCCTCAGAGAAATTCCTTGACGTAGTCAAAGCAGCAAAATGGCATATGCTAATCCAAATAACCGAACCCAGGTTAACACGATTAAGCTTCAGTTATCCTAAGTTTCGGCTGTAAATGGCAAATGAGGAAGCGGTTTAGCTTTCTATAAATCTTGCAATGGAAATAAATATGTTGATGACATGCTCTAGAGGTAAAGCATCAGAAACTGGTATCCTGAAGTTCCAGTTAGCACAAAAATAAAGCAGATCCGCTTGGGCACGTATAAAACCCTTCCATCGACTCCAGTGTGTGAGCCGCGCCTCGCAAACACTAGAAAACCGTCCCAGGTACGGGGCTGTTTGAGAAGCCGCCAGAAGTGTACACACACACTCAAACACCTCCTCGCCTTATCTAAGCTCAACTTAAGTTTCAAAATAAAGCTGACCTGCTAGAGCGGCAAGGAGAGCGCACAAACATTTTGGTAGAGAGGCAGGGGAAAAAAAAAAAAAAAAAGGCGTTAACTCCTTATGCAGGGGAGCGTCTGCTTGACCGGCAGGCGATTCCTCCAGGTGCTCCCAGGCCGATTTTCGCTGCCGGAGAGCGGGCAGAGCAGGGCACGGCGCGGCCATAGCGCTGTTCGACTCGGCAGCACGCTCTCTGTCCTGCTGGCTCAGCCTGTTCCCCTTTTCCTGAGGGGAAAAAGCGTTACGGAACGGGCAGGTACAACCTCTGCTTAGCCGCAGGTATTTGAGAACGGTTTTTGGGGAACAGGTATTTGGCCTCCTCCCAGGACGCCCATCCCAAGGCCAGCGGCTGTTTGGCTGCTGTTAACGGGCTGTAGCGCTGTTAATCGCTGGGGTGTTGGAGGACCGACATCACCCGTGTGTGTGCTTTTAGAGAAGTAAGCAAAAGCAGTTCTGAATTTTATTTATTCTGTTCTGTTTTCAAGGTAAAACAGGCAGCTTATAGATTAGTATTATGATGAATATTTTGTTTCAGTCTCTTGTAGGCAGGAATGTCTCCTATTTTTGCAAACCCTCCCTTCTTCTGAAGAAGGCCCTAAAATGATGCAAGATTTGAACGTTAACAGTCCTGATGAAGAATGGTTCCTGTTTTCCATACCTAGATCTGATAAAGCCCCCTGTTTTCATCCTTGATTTTTGCCTTGGATGGCTGATGGATGGCTTTTCACATGACTTAAGTTGTTGCAGACAGTATCTTGTTATCTTTCTAGCTTCTAACAGAATTAAAAAGAAACCAAATAAAAATTGCTTCTGTCAGCTGGTGATTTAATTGGAGGAACCTCAGCAACTTAAATCACAATGCCTGTGATTTACCTTTTCCTTTTTTTTGGCAAAATAAATAACAGCCTATGACGAGCGCAAGCAAAGCAAATTCTGACAGTATCTACCAGCCCATCATATGTCGTTGGATTTGCCTGAAGAGTAGAGAAATGACTTTTCAAAGGAATTTTCTTTTTCTGAGGAAAATATTTTCAGGCTATGGACATGGTTTACTTTACAAGGGCCTCCTAAGTATTGCAAGTCTTTTCAAATGTTAATCTGAATTGCAGTTTCAGGAGACTTTCTCCGCTCCTGCTGTGCTGGCTGCTTTATCCATTAGTATTAATTAGCTTTTATTCTTTTCAGATGTTAGATTTCTCCTTAAGGATAGTCTTACTCCTAAGACTTATTCTGTGTAAAAAAAAAAAAAAAAAAAAAAAAAAAAAAAAGCCAAATACCCCAAAAAATGCCCCCCCCCCCAAAAAAAAAAAAAAGCCAGAACCCTCTGCCAGCCCGCTAAAGCTGCGTTTCAGGGTTTGAATGACCTAAGCGCCTCTGCTCTCTTTTGCAGAGTGTGGAGAACGGCCGCTCGCAGACGCGTTCTCGGGCCTTCGGATTGTAGGTGGACACGATGCTCAAGCGGGAGCGTGGCCGTGGTTAGTTAGCCTCCAAATTCACCGCGCCGGTGTAAAATTTAAGCACGTATGTGGTGGAGCTTTAGTTAATGAGAATTCAGTACTTTCAGCTGCCCACTGCGTTACACAGAGGAAGTATGTATTCATGTAAAACTTCTTTTTATTGAGTATGAGAAGGGCATAGAGCATCACCTTTGAGTCACACAGTTTAATTTATATTAATTGTATCTTTGGAAAAAAAAACATAAATCAATAGGGCTGAGCTCTAATAACGCAGAACCAAGCTATCCAACTCCTGTTTGCCCATACTCCCCGTGGGTGGTATCCGAGGCCCCAAAACTATTCCCTTCACCCCCCCCCCTTTGCTATAACAGCCATCATGCTTGGTGACTGCTGTCATCCCAGCATGCTCGGGATGGGATGCAACGTCACAGCTTAAAAAGTCAGCAGCAAGAAATTTTGGAAGTACGCTCTGGTTTGGCCCAGAACAGCCTCTGTTATTTTTCCTGAAGGTTGGGTTGTTCTCATACCTAGCCAACATTTTTGTTAGGTTGGGCGGGGGGGGAGGGGGGGTGTTCTGTTTTTGTTTTTTACATGAATTTCTAATTTTTTTCCTCAATAGATTTTTCTAAACTAGTAAAGTTCACTGCCAAATGAAAATGTTGCAATATTTAGATAAGAAAAATTGCAACTTTTTTTTTTCAGTTTTAACACTACTTCAATTTTTTCTTGCTTAGCAGAACCAACAATTTGGCACTCAAGTACCTTTTATTTGACAATGTGGTAACAACAATAACATGCCTCAGAATGAGGCTTGTTCATTGTACTCAGAGCAATTCTGCTGTATTTCAACTATTTGCTCACTGTTGTCTTTACTGTAGCCTTTAAAATAGTTGCAAAATTTGCACTTTAGTTAATGCAAATTGATATTGACTGCATTGTCCTTATTGACATAACCATGACAGGAGAGAAATGGAACTGCCAAAATCTTTGAACTTTGGAATTTTAATCTTAACCATCTTAACCCGTTTTAACTTTAACCCTCTGTCAGGAGTTTGTTAGATCAGCTCCTTGTTTCTTTAGTGCACTTTTACAAACATTGATTTATAGTGGCATTTTATTACAAATAATCAATTTAGTTTTTATCTTATACTCTGAAGAATTTTGGATATTAGTCTGAATTTTATAGCTTGCCCCTTTCTCCATTATAGGCCAAATTCAATTCCCACTTAATATCAGTTAAGTTTTTTTTTTTTTTTTCCTCCTACGAACTTGAACAGAAACTAGGTCTGAACGACTCTGGTCCTATTTCTAATGTTAAGTTGATATTAATATTTGTAACTTCTAGTTATTGGATATTCTGAACCTAGGTACAAGCACTGTCTTTACACGCGCCATGGGTACAAGCCTTTCTCCTTTCTGTAAAAGAAATCCATATTGTTATCTTCTTCAACAGAATACCTCCTGGGTGGCCTCTGCTGGGACAGCGGTGGGAAGCAAAATCCGAATACCAGCTTAAATCATTAACCTGAATTTGCCTTAAAAGACGTAACAAACATTAGACAAACTGAGCATTCAATACAGCCAAAATTTTCATTAGCCAAATTTGTTCCAAAAACTATACTACAGAATTTTCGAGGTAAATTCTCAACGGTGCTTAAGCCAACAGTAAAACCATAAGTTTAAAGAATGCCATCAAGAAATGTATTTACTTTAAGATAACTAAGAAATACATGAATTCTCTTTTAGGGACCCATATTTCTGGAGAGCTGTGATGGGTGTGCATAACCTTTGGAAACATAATAAATATACAACAAAAAGAAATATTAGAAACATCACTGTCCACCCAGAATTCAAGAAAGAAACATTTGAAAATGATATTGCATTATTTAAACTTGATTCCTCTGTACGCTACAATGACTATATTCAGCCTATCTGCTTACCTTCTGCACACCTTTACCTATATATTGACAACCAAACAGATTGCTTTATAAGTGGTTGGGGACGTACAGCTGAAAAAGGTAAAAGTTTACTTGCCTGTCTGACCAAGTTATAAGCTAAATAACTGATTGCAGGGCTCAGTCCCTCAGGCTCACTGACGTAACTGAATCAACTGGGTTATAGTCTCCTCACACATCACCATCATTAAATCCTTCTGCAATGGAAAATCTGCTCACTGCGGTTTTTCCATTGAAAGCAGATTAGTCCTACAAAGATGTAACCCAAAGGCATAATTTGATTTTTAGCCTTTCTTCTAGGGATAACATGAAAAAAGGAAAATAAAGCAGCCCAACTTTGAGTAACTGTACCAAGAATCTCCATGTTGGCTGCCAGAAATAGCTTTTTTATTGAAAAACAAAAATTCTGATGCAGTGCATTGTGAACATAGGGCTCCCAGTGTGTTTTGGGAATAGCTGTCCCCCCTCAAATCCCGTCTTTAATGAGTACAGACTCGATAGGATGTAACTTAGTGGTGTGCATCCTTCCTGAATGGAGATTTAAAGGGCAACCAGGGGCCCTATAAGCTTGTTTGAGAAGTCACCTCTGAGTCTGGAACACAGCTAGTGACCAATGTTGTTATCATTAATGTTTCTTCAGAGCAAGAAGGGCAGAAACTACAGTAGTGCCAAATCTGCAAATACTTCAGCAAGTTAACGTTTAAATCCACTAGAAGCAGGCACAGTCTCTGTATTAAGTACGTGTCTCAGCAGGTATAGAATTGCGCTTAAACTACCAAAACACGAAAAAGAAAACACAGGAAGAGTTGCTACACCCAACAGCACAAATATTTTATCTTTTATACATGCTGTTTTCCATTACAGGTAAAATCTCAGCTGTATTAAAAGAAGCACAAGTGGAAATCATTCCTTCTAATGTCTGCAATGCTTTTGATTCATATGGAGGACTGGTTAATAGCAACATGATTTGTGCTGGCTTTGAATCTGGAGGCACTGATAGCTGTCAGGTAAGAATGAACATCGTGCCCAACCTGCCACCATGGAAACCACCAAGCCAAATGCCCACAGGCATCCCGATGACCAGCATTTGTAGCATAACTAATTAAAACAGTACAAGCAATAAACAGAAGACAGATGTCAAACTGGAAAGAAAAAAGTATCACAGAGAGGTAAGATGGTGATTCCAAAGGAAGATCTCAAAAACACACAGAAAAACTCAGTGATACTTGACAGGAGGCAAGAAAAAGTTAACAGGAGTGAAAGGAACCCAAACAGAGCACATAGATATTACCATATTTATGCAACACTTCTCACAAACATTTCAATAAAATGCACATTATACAAACACACATATATATATATATACACACACACACACACACACATCATTGTACATATGCAGTGTGCATGAAGCACACACGCGCGCACGCACGCACCTTACATGTTTTTATGCTTTTGAACAGCAGCATTGGGAAGTGGTTTGGTTCAGTGGCAAGACTGTAAATTAAATGCTGAGCAATGAGTATCTCTTCGAAAAGAGAATTCTCAAGTCAAAAGCACTAGTATACAAAGTTGGGGCACCAGCGGTGATTTAGTGCAGAAGATACTTATAATTAAAAAAACAGTGTATTCGTAAGGACTTAGTCTGATAGATTTCCTGCTTTCCTCCGCACACTTCTCTAAGTGATTTGGCAAAGATTTATAGTTGTGTATTGATTACCATGTTTCTTGGTACTTAGTCATACATTGTGTGGACAGTGTAATTTGAATTGTCATATTAACTGATGACCCTGAAAGTTTAGGGAGACAAATCATAGAATAAAAAGCTGTTAAAAAAAAAAAAAAGAGGAAAAAAGTCAACTTCAGTTAAAGGCACTGATACCATTGGTATGGTATTCTAGTCAAGGTAGTATCACTCAGGGAAATTTATTTTGATTTGTCCATGGATTTTGAATATCGGAGACTTCTAGTTGATGAAGAAAAGGGGGATACGTTACTGACCTAATGCTGCACTGATTCCTAGAAGGGAAAATGTTACTTTTTTAAAAATATTGTTTATTTACAGGGAGACAGTGGTGGACCTTTAATGTGCTATCACCCTAGTACCAGCAAGTACTATATAATAGGAATTACCAGTTTTGGAATTGGCTGTGGCCGACCAAAATTTCCTGGGATCTATGTCCGTTTATCTCAATACAGAAGATGGATAACATCTGAACTTCTGTTGAATAATAAGGCTGTGAATCCCATGAGCGTTACACTTGTGATCTTTCTGACTGTGAGGTGTATAGCGTTTGCCTAGGCTTTCTAAAGTGGCAAGCCATTGCATCATCACTGTAGAGGTTTGGGCCGTTTGTTAAAACTTTGAAGAGAGCTAACTCATGTTTTGTAAGACTAAATCTCAGTGCAAAAGGAAAAAAAATGCCTTTTTTTTTTTTTTTTTTAAGAAAGCATGGTTTTATCCAACCTCTGTGTGTATGTATATAAAACTTTTAATAAAGCAGTATTATTTTTGGAGTTATATTATTTCTTGTAAATATATGAACTGAAGCAAGGTGCACACAATAGAAAATACATACAACCATTTTCTATGAATGTAAGGTTTCAAACTATGAACTAGTCCCATCTTTTGGGAAGTATAAAACATGAATTTGTTATGTTTTAAAAAAAAATTGAAGTATATATCACAATAATATTCTCTAACAAATTATCAATTCTCTACTTGTTGGAAGAAAGCCGATGATTTATAATTTAACCTGGTCATAGGTGTACATAGTACTCTAGCTTAAAGGAACACTGCAATGTATATTGTTGCTCTAAACGGTAACATCTTAGCATTCTTACAACAAAATGTGTTTTCATCAAGATAAATACAGAATTTATTTTCTTGCAAAAAGCCACTCTGATGGGCATGTCTGGGCGCACGGTAACCATAATAATCTTAGGTTGATGAACCAGTCCTTCCAAGTGCATCTCCTAGAAGTTTGGAATTTTATTATCATAGTTTTCTGTCTTCTGCCTTTGAGATCCATACCAACAGTAGAGGAAGTGATAACAGCCCTGAATCGAATAATGAAATTTAATATAGAAATGTTACCAACTGAAAATATTTTTTCCTTCCCTCTTTGTATACTTTTCCAGCTATCAGAAGCTTAGGTAGTACTTAATAATACCACGTGCGAGGTGATGGAAAGGATACTCCCTCTGCTGGATGAATACTAACAGAGCACAGAATGTTTTTAAGTTAACAGTGGTTCAGCTTAGTTAAACAAAAATAGAAAGGAAAAAAAAAATCTGTAAAAGACAAAAGGTATTTTCCACTAATTAGTTTTCGCGCTGACTAAATTCTACACATAAATAACTCAGCATTCTGCTTGGCTGCTGAAAGAACACACCAAGGAAAGGATCTCTGGATGCTGTTTCTTAGACTGTTTCAAGTATTTATTCTTAGCCAGTACAAAAGACCTGATACTAAACAACATAGACATTTGGTCTGAAAAACTGCAGCAGTATGTTAACTAAAAATAAACTGATCAATAAATAAGGAACATCAGAATTATATTTTGGCGACTTTATTTACCAAGGTCAAAATTTTCAACCATCTAATTGTTTCAACAAATATTTACAATTCATATAAAGCATGTATTTTTGTTTGGAAATAACCAGCAGAACAGTATTTGGTATTCTCTCTCTTACTGTCAGGACGTACATTTTACTCTCTTACCATGTAGATTTTGAAGTAAATCCAAAATAAGTACTGCATGATAAGTGACTACTTGAAGAGCAATCCCATGTTACTGTTTCATATGCTCTTTCCCAAAACACTTATTTTAAGAGGATAAAAATTTACTAGCATTATGTCTGGCAGCATTACATTTGTTTCACTTGCTGAATACAGAAAGAATTGGCCACCATTTTTCATACAGCCTTAGCACTTGATAGCTTTTTTAATTATTATTCCATATGACAAAAGAAGGTAAAGGAACAACAGCACACAATGAGGATCAAAATACCATACACAGGAGTTACCAAATTAGTTTCAGTACTGTAGGTCAAACCCTGCCCTCTTATACAGATGCCGAATAGCGCACGCACACACCTGATGGTAGACAGCAAAAAGGTCCAATTCTCTGACGTGCTGAGCACATCCCAAGAGGTGTTCCTTTTTCCTGAAATCCTCCTCTAACAGAAGCTGGAGGCACCACGCACCTCTTTTGGAGCACAGTGTCGTAACGTAATGGCTTTCTCAATCTTGCTCATTACTTTTGATGTGCAACCAGAGCACTTTTTTTGACATGATTGAGAACACAAATGTCTACTTCAGTTTGGCCTAAAGGAAATGTATAGCGGATCGTGTCCATAACAATCATATATTAAACTTCAGAAACAAAAATATTTGTATAGCCTACTAACAGTGTGATTGTGGAATGCAGTCTCATATCATCTGCAAAGAGCTCTGCTTGCTAAGAAGCCCATTAATTCAAAAATGAGTAAAATAAAAAATACTGACTGACCATATGATAAAGAATACACATCTAGGGAGTGAGTACATCTTTTAATTTCATTCAGATCTGAGCTAGCACAACACACACACATAGCTCTAACACCTTTTAATAGCGTAGTCCATAGTGCAATTCCCGCTGACATAACTGGAAGCAGGATTCAATCCTAACTATGGAAAATAGTGTGTTTATTATTCATGCAATAAGCACTGTATACACATTTTTCTATTTACACCCAAGAGTCCTGATCATGTCGAACATAATTTAAATTTCACCTAAAACAAATCAAAATGATAGAAACTAGAATCTCTGATGGCAATAAGATCAAATGTGCAGATATTATCAACTGCGGGGGAAAAAAGCCCTGATCTCTTCTTTTTTTCTCCAATACTCTTTAGGATCCATTTTGTTGCAAGTTGCCTATAGACATACAAAATTAATTCAAATATCTCCTACACCAAAGAGGATCTCATTTGACTTTGTACTACCCATAAAAATATATGATTGAAAATCTGGTTCACAAAATATTCCATTTGTTTACTAAAAGGAAATATATAAACTGTCAAAATACGTATATAAACTCAATTTCAGAATTTGCAAAGATCACAATTTAGCTACAAAATATACCAACCATCTACCTGTTTTTAATAGAATATTTTCTTACAAAGATACCATTACTTTGCAAAATATTGCCTACCTTACAAAATTAGTCTGGAAATTTTGCACTACTTTCAGCATATAAACCCTACATTAGAACCTCATTAAACCCTTTGGTATATGTCTTCAAATTTTTTTTTTTTTTTAAACTGTTCTTCCCTTATTTGGTCTAAATGTTCCAAAGCACAGTAGAATCTCCAAACAGAATAAGCAATGCGTGTTTAATTGTAGATATAATCAGCACACAATTTATTTTTCAATTATAGATATTTATCATGCCCAGCAACTAAGAACAAACTATTTTAAAATCATTCTCCAGAAACATTTGTTCACCACTACTCGTTTTACCAAGCTGTGGTTTAAAATAATTGGATGTGTTGAATTCTCTGAAGAAAAGTCAACACCTTATTTCACGTGCCTCGGACATTTTCAGGACTAGGCCTCTCACTGCTTTCTGCAAAACCATTCCAAATCTGATAAACACAGCAAACATTTAAAAAAAAAAAAAACTTTTAAACTGTCAGCTGAGAAAGAATAAACATAATTTATACCTCTAGCAAAGTATTAGCTTTTTTTTTTTTTTTTAAATCAACTTTACCTGTAAATAACAACTTACAGGTTAAAATAAAAATATTTACATACAAATAACTGAAAGAAAAAGGAAGGATTGAAAAAAACAGTAAGAAATCATATACTGGTTATAAACGTTACTAATAATTTCAGCTATGGCAAGGATTCCATTGTATCTGTATTTTAATTGTAACCAAATATTGCCTCCATTACAAAAGGTATTTGTAGCTCAAAGAAATTCTCATCACCTGTCTGGTAAAACGTGACTGTCCTTTTATTGTAGATGCAAGTTTTCTCGTTCCTTTTTTGTACTTTGTCACCAACATGTAAATAAAATCTATATATAGTCTTTAAGTTGCGAAATCTAGGTAGAAAAGTTTCATTTTTGACCTTTCATCTAGTTTAAAAAATTCAGTATAAAAAAAAATTCTCCTCTGAAATTTAAACAGTCCACAAAAGTTTTACCTTCTTTTCTTACACACTTTTATGACAGTAAAGATCTTTCAAAGTTTTTAACTCTTCAATTAGAGTTTTGTTTTGATTTTCCAGGACCGCAACTCGATTTTCCAGACATTTAACATACTCTTTCTTCTTTCTGCGGCATTCTCGAGCAGCTTCTCTGGAACAGACAGACAGAAGTCACTGTTTATTTTATCTGAGATTTGAGTATTTTATGAGTGTTATAACACTGACCAATGTGAGATGAGGGAGTTGGCACTGGCATCATTAGCAGAACAAACTGCAACAGTAGGTGGAGAGCATGAAATTTAGCAGTATCTGCTAACACACATGGCAGTCAATCTGCAGGGAAAAAACAGCTTGTTTCCTCCAAATACCACATAGCATGTTTTGGTCAAAATCTCTCATGTTTTTACTGACTAGAGGCAGCATACCATACTGATGGCACACTCATTTAAATTAGCTTGCGCAACTCAGAATTTGTCCTTCAAAGACCTATTTTAGCACATTAAACTAACAAAAGCAGCCCGTGTGCATTTACATACCTGTTCTTCATCAGCCTTATTTCTCGTTTCAACTGTGGATCATCTGTCTTACTTGTCTGCGATGTCAGAGTGACAGGAGATGTCATAACCACAGTCTGAGGAAGGGATGTGGTAGTTGGTGTGGTGCGGATCTGGTAAGTCTGCATGTCTCCTGATGCGGCTGTTACAGTAATAGCGCAAGATATCAAAACGTGGTAGTGTTAGGAAGTTACGCTCTCATTAGGAGGAATCAGTATTTCTAAACATTTCCAGAAGGCATACTCACTCTGCACTACCACCTGGTTGCTGGGTACGAGTATCTGTTGACCATCGGATGTTTGTGCATATTGCAGTATTGTTGTCCCAGGCTGAGTACCACCAGCATTTGTCATTGTTAATGTCTGCAGACCCTGCACGCCATCTGTACCTGGACTGGCCAGCTGTAATCCATTTGCAGCAATGGCAACTTAAAGAAAAAGGACAAAAGCAAAAATATTTGTAGCTGTACATTATTAAATATAGATAAAGCTGAATCTGCACGCTGTACATCCTTTCCCATTGGCAAATCCGTATCTTAACTCGCCACTAAAAATATTACCTATCTGGAAAGGCTTTACTCTTTGTGACCTTTAATAATCAGATCTTGTTGCTGGCTTCTTACTCAACGTCTACATACTTCATCTTACTGAGGTTTCCTCTACAGGAACTGAGCGTAGAGAAACAATGTAATTTAGGTTGAGTCTTTTGCGATTGCCATATTTTGAAGATTTAAAAACTTGGTTTTAATTGCGTTCACTTTCAGACTCGCATACAAACACACAGCTGTTTGGTCTGCAAACACGATGATTACTAGATGATAAATCCTTTATATTTTCCCTGATAGCACAGGGAAATGCCTTTTGGCCCTAAGGTTTATGTAACTGTATCTTTCTCAATCTTACATTTTGGACTAAATCCAACGCTAGAGGACTGCTATTTAAATTATTTTATCTTTTCCTGCTGTAAAACAAGTATAACAACATTTCCATTTCCCCATACTTTGAATGTCTCGTCTTAATACACAAAAATTAAGACAACGCAGTTTTGAGGGGATCTCTGTAGTCTTCAGACACCAGTTTATATCTACACAACAGTAGTAGCTTCGCTGGCTGTTAAATGAATAAAAATCTTTTTTGTTTCACCTTAGTGAAATATATAACAAAAACATGTATTTTGGGAAAAGTTTAATAAAAGTACATGCAGGTAGGTATGTATTTTGTAAAACATACTGTACTGTCCAGTGCTTGTCTGGTAGATAGGTGTGGGAACAGACATAGATGTAACAGTAGAGACACCAGGACTTTCCTCATCTCCTTTTCTATCCCGTGTATCTTCAGAAGAAAGATCTTTCAAGATTTTTCTATAAAAAAAAGTGTATCAGCTCTAATAATAGGCAACAGCTATAAATTAACTGCAACAAAAGTTGCAAAATACTGTCGCTATTTTGTATTACAGAAAGAAACGCTAAAGTTTTGATATAAAACCGTTTTGGAAATGAACAAAATCTTGTATAAGGTGACTGTCTCCAAAGTCTTTCTGCAATTATATTTCTGTAGTTTATGAATTCTTGGTTTTTGTTACATATTTTAATCATTTTACATTGACAGAGCTAAGAGCAATTCAAGTCAGCTACTGATTTATAAAATATTTGTATGCACAGTTCAGTGCAAATTCCAGATTTTCAATCATTATCCTCTAAAAGCCTTAGATGTTTGCACTGGTAAGCCTACAATAATCTGTGCCATTTGCAGTAGATTTCAGTAACCTCCAGAAAAACAATGTACCGAAAACACTTTGTACTGAAGTTGTTCTAACACTGCAGCTGCATCATTTCATTTCAGTAAAAGCTGCACCAGAGTTTCCATCATAAACTTTTTTCCAGGGATTTATAACTGGCCTGTTAAGAAATTTTTCTCATTTAAAACTTGATCCTCCAATTCTCTCAAGAATATGCTTTGTATATCCAATTAAAACCAATTTGCTCTCTCTGCTGCCACAATAAACTAGAAAGCAGATTAATTTTAAAACTTTTTTGTACTGAAAGCGCAAAAGATTACTACAAAGTAAGACTTTTTGTGTTCTGCATTTAATTTGCACAGCTTCTCAAACAAGCCATGTACTACGTAACAATACCCTATGAAAACAGACACAGCCCTGTTTAAAAGCAGAACCAATGGAGGCATGAATTTTATGCATCTTACCCCAGGCCAAACGATGAGTTAGTGGTAGTTATACGAAGAGAAAAGCAGAGCTGACAACTCCCAGTCCCAAACCCACACTGCTAAAACCGTTCTCCTGTAGACGCTCTGCCTGCAGCTACTGGTTTCCCATCCTGGCTACTTTTATGGAGGATGTTTAACTGCTCTTTTCCACCACCATTTGCTGAGTGCATGCAAAATATTAAAATCCCTCCTAAATGATTTGCTTTGATGCATAATTCAACATGAGATAAACCCAACAGAAGAGTGAATGGGGATAAAATATTCAAAAAACGAAAAGCAGTGGCAGAAGTGGGAACAGTAGTCACTGACAGGAACGTCAGGTAAGTTCAGAAACTGTCTCTTTAAATTTTCAGGATATTGTTGTAAAAAAGTATCAAATTTTGTGCCTTTTTAATTTCTAACAAACATTTTATTTGAAAGGCTAGCACACAGTATTTGATTAGAATCCTCCCTTCAGTAAAATGAGATCAAATAAGACTGCAGCTGATAAACAATTTTCCCTATACCACCTCTCCTTGGAGCTGATCTGCGGTTCTTATTTAAGCCAGTCTCCTTGTAGCAAACGGTAACTAACATGGCACACTCAAAATGCTTACTGCATAATCAGATCCAATGTATGCTTCCAGACAAAGAAAATAACTTAGAGGTTGACAGAAGCTGTCTAAAGAAGCTGTATGTTTATTTGAAACCAAAATGACAAAATATTTCCTATAAAGTACTCACCGATAAGACGGGCGACGAGCTAAGATACCTCGAGCTTTCTGTGAAGAGCCTATGCTATCTGATGAGTCCTGAGAATCTTCACTCTCAGACAAAGAAGATACCTAAAAAACACATTCCACGTGGCTATCCTGTTCACTACAGAAGAAACGCCCAGAACAAATTACATATTTTAATTTTTTATGAGCTAAAGCTGCACAAAAACTACACAAATGCGGCTAATTACAAAGAGAATGGAAACGCAGTGGATTTCTAGATTCAGTGCTATTTAATATTTCTAGCAATTCTCAAAGACTGTTACAGCTAGAAAGGTCATAATAAAACCAGAACGTATTCACTGGAAAGCCCAAAGGATGCAAACCTATTAACTCCCTATAAAGAGAAAGCTCAAGAGATCCCCAAAATATTTACTATATCAAAAGCTGAAAAAACCTCCACCATTTGAAGCCAACTGTTCTATGACTGCAGGATTAATCAGTCCAGAAATTTAAAAATAACAGTGTGAAGAAATAAAAGGTTAAGCATGTTCATAAAAACCTCATAAGCTTAACTCTGAATTCTGGAATCCAAGTTCTGAAGTAATAAGAAGATTATCTAACAGAAGAGGTGGGGGGGGAACCAAGGAGAAATCTGTAAACAAGAACTCAAAGAGCTCCAGCTAGACAAACACTCACAAGGGTTTGAGGAAAGCTACACCTATCTGTCTGCAAAACAAAGCAAAATGCTGCTAGAAGACAGTGAATCTTAATAGCTCATCTGGTCTGAAAAGGTGACCCACTCCCACATATAAATTTGTCTAAGGAGGTGACAGGAGTGGAAACAGGAAGATCATTTACGTACAGAAACACACACATAAAATACTCAAAACGTATCATGTAGACAGACTTGCACTATGTTTTGTTGGTAAGAACACAAGAGCCAAATGAAAACAATATAAATATTTAAAGGCAGCAGCATATCAGGGAACAAATATGCAAAGTATTAACTATAATTTTCTTTTTATTCCATTCTGTCCTTGTCCAGTGTCAATTTTTCCTCTGATGCTCCTTATTAAATGCAAGCTAACAAAGCGTTTATTTGTACTTATCTGTGTGCCAGCAACAAAAAGTCATCAGGAATGCATATGGCTATGGGAAAAGCATTTCTCAGCTAACTTCTGCCACAGAGATAAAAGCAGCAACCTGCTATCAATATTTTAAAAAAAGCTCACATATACTTTTTTCCTGTGAGCTACAGGGCCACAACGCCCATAAATCACCAAAAAAAATGCAGGAATATAGTCAGTGGGGACCCTGCAATTAGAACGTGATGATAGGAAAGGGATCAGTAGAGATCCAAGTTAAGACAACCTGCTAAAACAGATGCAAAACTGTTTTCAGCAAAGCGAAATGCATTTTCTTTTCTATGATCTGATGTTACAGGAACAATGATAGTTGAAAATGCATTATAGTTTCTTTTTTCTTGATTTCTCAATTTAATGTCATATGAATGGATAACCAACAGTAAAAGGAATAGTGACAAATTAATATATTTTAGCATAGTTCTCCCAGTGATTCAGCTGACTCTTGCAGTTAGTTCACAGTGTAACGTCAATGCCATGCTGCCCAGAGGGCTCTCTGCAGCCAAAAACTGAACTGGAGTAGGAACAGGCTTAAGTGTAAACTCCCCCCAAGGCACCTCTCTGAAGTGGCTTGTGCAAAAATCACACGGCAAGTGAGTAAGAGACACACAAGCATGCTTAGGTACCGCAGAAATGGAATTACAGCATACACTAGGTGCGTAATCAACAGTTTATTCACCATCATTCAGGTCTACCCTTTCCAAACACACAATTTTCTTCACTGGATTATTCTAATACTCTCCTTATTTGGGTATTAGAACGCACAGATTGTGGGTCTGTTAAGAGCACCGACCAGAGGGTTGGGGTTTTGCATTGTAAAGGGAGGCTTATGTCCAATAGCTTCATTTCAACTCTAAAGGCAACTTTAACACTACAAATAATTTCAAGCATAAGTAATCGTTAAAGAAGAATGATGTTCCCTCACAATACTGGACTGGTCACTGCCTCTTAGAGTAGGGCCAGAAAGGCCGCACTGTGGCAGAAATAGCTCAGACAGGCCTTTGCAAGTCTTCTCAGGTACATAAAACAAGGCATTTGGTTATTTAACAGAAGTTCTGTAGTTACCTGCACTGTTTGCACCTGGGGTGAGTGGATTACAGAAGAGGACTGAGCTGTCTGAATGACTCCCTGGACCTGGACTTGTTCTCCAGGAAGCTGGACAACTGTCAGTGGAGCAGGACCTCTGAGAGACATCTACAACAAACCAAAGGATCATGAACAAAAGTAGGTGTTCTACAGCATTCAGAAAACGTACCTATGTGTATGAAAACTAAGGGAGAACACGCATTAGCAGAAGGGTCTCTGAAGTCTAATCAAGTCACAGAAGGTATCCTTTAAAGAGACACATTTTTTCAGATACCTATCTGCATACAGAGAAGGCTGAAACAGCTAGCTACTTGCCTCAGGTTAGGGAGAAAATCAAATATGTAGCGGTTTAAAATTAACAAGATTAAAATGCTTCAACTTAAATGCATCTTTTTCTCAACGATCCATAATAAAGCAGACTTCTGCAGAATCACATCACTGAAACCTTAACTGAGAACAATTGCTTCCATATAACTCCATAAATATGCACAGATCAAGCCCCACATTTGTGATAGTTTAAAATGGAACCAAAACTTAAAAAATAGAGTGCCTTAGACTTAGATAAGAAGAAATATAAGTACATAAAGAGCTAAGCTGCCTCATTTCCCTGTAAAGTTTTATGGCACTAAAAACATCTTCACAAAGATGAAATCACCAACAGGACTAAGGATAGACCAGACTAACACCACTAAATTAATGCAATTAATATACATATTTGATGTTATTGGATTTTTTTTTTTCAAGCAACCAGTGTAAGACTATGGTTCAAAGACTTCACAGGGAAGAATTCAGAAGAGTTATGTATAGCAAAAGATGACCAATCTACTTCACGGCACAGGGGCTGTATGAAAGATATCAGACCTCAAAGGAAACTAAAGGAGACAAGTTAGCAAGCTCTGGACAAGGAAGAAGAACTCAGAGCAGATTTTTCCCAATACAAATTAAGGCATCTGCTACTTAATGCTATAAAACTATCAATTTCAATTAACATTGCAGCTGCAATTTAGGCCTCAATAGCAAAAAGTTAATTACTACTGTTAACCCTGTACAAAATACTTTTTACATTCTAGCAGGTTTTATTTGACAGTGAACTCATGTGAGCTCTGCACTTTACTTATGCATCTGCATATGTAATATTAAATAACCAGCTTCCTCACCAAATTTCTTCATTATTTTTATTGATCTCAAATATATGAAAAGATGAAGGGATCATTAAAGCTCATACAGCTAACTTTTCATTTAATATTACTCTGGTTATCACACATCATAATATTAAGTCGCATTGGCAACCTTATATAAAAACAGATCAGAAAAGCATCTTGTAAACAAACAACAGGATGCTCGCTGCTATTCTATCCTGTCTTTGTTTCATGTAGTTATCCGGATTTCGCATCAAAATCTAAGTCACCTCCATACAGTAAACAGTGGACGAGCTGTTAAACATCACTGCTTCACAGCACCGAGATGCAGCTGTGGGAACAGGCTTCTCTAGAAAATTATTGCTCTTTCAGAAGCAGAAATTTTAATCAGGAGGAAATCAGGTTAAAGCTTTGAAAGTGATGTTACCTCGTGAAAAGTATGTCAAATTTCCAACTTCATGTGATTTACCACATTAAAAACATTCATGTTGGGCTAAAATCCAATGTTTCCATGGTGCTGAGCACCCAGGATTGCCATAGCTATCAAAAGGAGCTGTAAATAGTTTTTCTGAAAAAAAATAAAGATGAGGTTCTCAATTCATTACCGAGCAGCTCCCATAAGTCAGGTTGATGACCGTTAAAAAGGACGTAGTACATTCTAACAGAAACGATGGGCTGCATTTTTGCATTGTACCAGCACTACATTCATTTTGGTCTTTTGAATCCAAGCCATGCTATTATTTTTGTGTTGCCCATCAAACAGCTTATTTTTCTCAACTTTCTTTGCTGGTCCTTCTCTGTGTGTTTCTAAAACTCAACAATTAATACAGTTTGTACATAAAAAATGTCTCTTAACTACCCTCAAATGTTTGCTGAGATTTGGCCCAGGCTTTACCTGTTGAGCAATATGAGAGAGCTGAGCTGCCTGTAGTGTTGTACCTTGTACAGCTGATGTTTGTGAAGCCGTCACTGAACTGTTACTGCTGCTCTTGTGCACCTCTTCCATAATCAACTAGAAGAAAAGTAACAAGTTAAATTCAGTTAATGATAAATTTGAACGGGAGGTAACTGCCCAACTTCCACTGATATTTAATAGACGTGCCTAATTCTTTTAGCCTTATTTGGAAATCTTTAATTTGTGCTTTGTCCTTCTGTGTCGCTTACTATTAGGGAAGAGCACAGCATTTTTTGTCAATCCCCTTTGGATACGCTGAGCATTGTTATGCCATCTCATAGACGGGGAAAACAAAAGGAAAGGCAAGGTAGGAGCTTTTCCACTGACTTGCATGGTTGGTCTGGACAGGTCACGCACGCTGCCTCTCAAGGCCTTAGAGCTCAGCACAGCTTCTGAGCTGGAGCCGAGTCTAGTTTAGCTCTAACAACACCTGCAGCTCAGCTGGTTGTCAGCAGCGGGTCAAACCTACACGTTGCCGAAGTTTATTGTCAATGTTTATTGAATTTCCCGTCCTTTAATAAAAGCAAACAAAGGCAAGTCATGAGAGCTAGGGGGGGAAAAAAAAACACCTTACACTAAACATTTATACTAAAGAATATCCTGCTCTAAGTAGAATAATTTTCCAAAATATTTTATCCAAGCTACCAGTCAAACCTATTTTAAAACATCTGAAGATGTTTAAAAACAAAACAGGAATTCAGAATCGGAGTATAAAGAACACAGGTTTGAAAGAGAAGTAGCATCCCTTTAAACCCTGCAAAAGTAACAGCATCTTCATATAATAAAGTCATTTCTCTCATTGCTAACGTTTTATATTTAACTGTTCAACACTGCTTGACAGCCCTCCCCTCCTCAAAAAGAGGGGATTTAGAGTGATGTAAAAACGCATGCTTTTAGGCGGGGGTGAGTGGGTGGACCAGCCTAGAGCATTAAAAGATGATCGGTGAGTGTTAAACATTTTGTCACAGAAGGTTTAAAACTGTTGAAAGGACAGTTGCTATGAGACTGGAAATTACATTTCTTTCTGTGGAAATGTGAGTCATTGATTTTTCCCTACTGAGATAAACCACAGCTCTTGCAGCTTGACGTATACTTAGAGGGTAAAAAGTCAATGTACATGAAGACCAACATCTTGTTCTTGCAATCCTTACTCATCTGAGGAGTCCCACTGCACTCTCACAACTCCTCACTATAAAGCCCTGTTTTAGCAGCTTATTTGAGAAAAGCGGTAAGACACCAATGGTTTTATGGCACACGAAACTGCCTTCTTTAGCGCCTGGAACAAACGTTCCCTAACGCACGACACAGCTTCCCAAAATACGTGTTTCTGTAAACATAAAACAATTCATCCAGAGGTTAAGGTGAAGCAGGAAAAGGAAGGCTTTATTTTGGAATAAAAGGTCTATCACAGCAGAGCAGCACCTCCGCCGTTCCCCGCCGCTGGAAACCTCCAGCTAATCGTCGCTATCCCACCGTCGCATCGGTGCTGCTCCTAAGGCAAGAGCGCTCTCCCCGCAGCGGCAACCAAGCGCGAATCAGAGGGACGAGGAGCCGGAGAGACGCATTACTCAGCTGCATACTACTGATGCTTGCGAGAAACCAGCCACCGAGCAGGAGCAGAGCAAAGCTACGCTAAGACATTTTCTTTTTTGAGTCCCTACTGCTCTAGAGCTCACTTGAAAGTCTGAAGAGTGCTTCGGCCTTTTTTTTTTTTTTTAAAGAGAGAAAACTGACAACTGTGATAATTTAAGCATAAAAACAATAAATATAAAAAAATGAAAAGCAGAATTGATGATAAGTATGTATAAGGGAGTCAATTTGTAGAGCTTCTAATTCAATTTTACTTTTTTTTTTAAAAAAAAGGAAAATGTACATTTTGTAGCTGCACAAATGGAGCTATATTAAGTGTCAAAAGTAAACGGGGTATTGTCAAACTGAAATCCAGTCAACAGCAAAAATTAAAAGAAATTTCCAGTGCTACAGAAATACCCAGTTCATCTCTGTAGTGCTAAACCACATTCTCTGTTTCTCCCTCCCTCTTCTACTGTTTTTCTCTGCCTTTTTGTCCCATGAAAGACTCTCAACAACAGCAAAATTGACTGCAATAAACAATGAAACTGATAGATATAAACCCAACCACTCAAAATAAACAAACTGGGAAGAAAGCAGAAAGATTTTAGCTGATCTTCCTCTAACTGGCGTGAAGCCCTACTTATACGAATAATAGATCAAATATTTTCAATGATAAATAAGCTTTTTAACTTCACTTCATCTCTACTTGCTCTATAGTATTTAAAGTATAGTAAATATTCATCCAACATCTATCAGTTTTAGTAAAAAAACAGATTTAGAAAGCCATTTTAACAAGATGAAAACTAGTATTGCATCTATAACCGCCACTGGATAAAGAAGGTACAACGCGCTATTCAGCCCTGCGCAACTGTCACACAAGAAGATTTTGTACACGTCTCTGTCTTGTTAAAACAGCCAATTTAGCTGAGGAAATATGAACTTTCCATTGGGATGCTCTTCTGCGAACAGCTGAAATGGAGATTTCTATTTACGCAGCTTTCAGAAAGACAGTTCCAACTAAAAACCTCAATCTGCAAGGTCTCAGCTTAAAGAAGAAGTACCAAAGACGGAAAACATACCGCTGTTGTAGCTTTTTAGGAGGAGCAGTTACAGCTACCTCCAACAGCAGAGTACCTGTTTAGCTGAAACCAGTAGTTTGAGGTGGAGGGAAAGTTTTGCCTGTCACACGGAGTACAGAAAGTAGGGAATTCAGAAAAGTAACACCTGATGTTTTATTAACTGGAAAAAATAATTGTTCCACTCTGTAAGAAAGCCGTTCTTCATAACACGACAGGTAAGAACGATGCTTTACAGAAGAAAAGCAATGCCTCCATGCAGCTACCTCTCAATAACATCGTAATCTAAATGAAGGGATTCTGTGATCCAAGCACGATGCAGAACATATTTGTTTTAAAGGACTTCTAAAATTCTGAGAACTGACTCTCTCCAGACAACCAAATCACTTTAAAAGCGAGTCCAAGTCTCAAACCTATCTCATTTTAAACAGAAAGAGAACTCTGCATTTCATTGTGAGCAAGACTAATTTATCATTCTGCAGTTCAGGTAACCCTCCCCTTATATCATGTTACCCACATCGAACTAGCACTCAAGAAACGGTAAGAAAAATCATAAATGACTGTGAGGGACTAACAAACAAACAAAAAACCATTCCCACAACTTTGACTAAGTGTGATGAAAAATATTCTAAAATTTTAAAGATGCTCCACTTACAGATATACTGCGCTTGTACAGTACCTATTTTCACAAGATTTTACCCTGAATCGCTCTTTATTTCAGCGTCCCATCTGTAAAAGGCACGCTACTTTCCAGTCCTCACTGCTTTGCTTGTGTCGATTTAGAATGCAAGTTCTCTGAAATTGGTGACTGCTTCTAGTTCGTAAAATGGCTAAAATCATGGATTCCCAGCCTCAGATGAAGCTTCAAAACATAATCAGGAGACAAAAAAATAAGATAATGAAATATAAAAGCAGTATGTGAAGGCAAAGAGATGTGAGCGAGACAGCAAGACCGCCAAAGGAAGAAACTAAGTTTGGTTTGGCCCTTTTAAATCTATCAGGAGAAAGGCCGAAATGACGCTTCAGTATTGAAATATTTTAAGAGCAACTGATTTTTTAAAGACTTTATAAAGTCAGAAATCAAAGAATACTAGACATGGAACTTTAGTCTCAAATACTGAGCAACATTTAAAATACTGAAGTACTTAAATTTGGTACAAAAAGTAATTCAAAACGTTTTGTGGAACTATATTCAAGAATTCAGTGAAACTCTGGATTCTTTAAGGTCCCAGAATAAGCTGTCCTCTCCCGCCAGGACAGTTAAAACATCACCTACTTTATTTGCAATTAAGACACTTTCAGAAAGTTTTTCTCATCCAGAAGACAGTGACAGAGCTCCATTTTTTTTTTCCAGAAATCGGTGAAAGTCAGAGGCAAATGAGAGCGCATCCTACATGTTCGTGCCAGAAAGCAAGTGAGAGGGCTCGAGCCAACGTAGCAAGTGACAGTTTTGGATCCCGTTCTACCAAACGCACCAAAGAACACACCTCAAAACTCCAGCAGTACTTTCCATCTGTGTTTTCTCACGCACACACAAGCCTGCCCCAGGGCTTCTGCCGCGACATGAAGCTCGGTTTGCGTTCCCATGACAAGCAGCTTCAGAAATAAAAGCCTACAATCTGACTTAAAAAAAAAAAAAAAAAGGCTATATCGCCTTGACATAAGGGAGCTTGGCGCTTGCGAGGGGAAAGCAGAGCGAGATCATTCACCAAGCGGTTTGCACCCAGCCACCTCGATCAAACTGGGAGCTCACCGCCCTCCTGTGTGATGGGGGTGCAATTCAGGAAAAAACTGGGCGGACTCAAAATTAACGTTAAAAAAACAAACAAAAAAAAGGAACAATAAATAAGTAAAGAAGGAATCGCCGCTATAAACGCATAACCGGCCTTGTTTTTCAGCAACAGATCGGCAGCGGTTACCGCCGTGCGGCTGGACGACGGCGGGCAGCAGGGCCGGGCCCGCGGGGCGACCC